CGGCAGCGGCGGCTGGAGCGGAGCGGAGCGGCGGCGCGGAGCGGACCATGCTGCTGGACGCCGGCCCGCAGTTCCCGGCCATCGGCGTGGGCACCTTCGCCCGCCACCACCACTCGGAGATGCCGGAGCGGGAGCTGAGCCTGGCGGCGCAGAACGGCTTCGTGGAGACGGCGGCCGCGGCCGCCGCGCACATGGGCGCCTTCAAGCTCAACGCGGGCGCGCACGAGCTCTCGCCGGGCCAGAGCTCGGCGTTCACGTCGCAGGCGCCCGGCTACCCCGCGGCCGCGCTGGGCCCGCACGCCGCGCACGTCGGCTCCTACTCGGGCGCGCCCTTCAACTCCACGCGGGACTTCTTGTTTCGCAGCCGCGGCTTCGGCGAGTCGTCGCCGGGCGGCGGGCAGCACGGGCTGTTCGCGCCCGCCGCGGGCGGCCTGCACCCGCACCCGCACACGGACGCTCAGAGCCACCTCCTCTTCCCGGGCATCCACGAGCAGCACGGCCCGCACGCCTCGCAGAACGTGCTCAACGGGCAGATGCGGCTCGGCTTGCCCGGGGACGTGTTCGCCCGCTCGGATCAGTACCGGCAGGTCGCCAGCCCCAGGACTGACCCCTACGCGGCGGCCCAGCTGCACAACCAGTACGGCCCCATGAATATGAATATGGGCATGAACATGGCAGCCCACCACCACCACCACCACCCCGGTGCCTTTTTCCGCTACATGCGGCAGCAGTGCATCAAGCAAGAGCTCATCTGCAAGTGGATCGACCCCGAGCAGCTCGCCAGCCCCAAAAAAAGTTGCAATAAAACTTTCAGCACCATGCACGAGCTGGTCACCCACGTCTCGGTGGAGCACGTCGGGGGGCCCGAGCAGAGCAACCACGTCTGCTACTGGGAGGAGTGTCCCCGCGAAGGGAAGCCCTTCAAGGCGAAATACAAACTGGTCAACCACATCCGCGTGCACACGGGCGAGAAGCCCTTCCCCTGCCCCTTCCCCGGCTGCGGGAAAGTTTTCGCCAGATCGGAAAACCTCAAAATCCACAAAAGGACGCACACAGGTAATCCGGGCTGCTTTCGGGAGCCTTGCGCTGTATCTGTATATTTATCTCTGAATGTGCATACGCGAGGCTGCATGTGCGCACAACGGCAGATGCAAAGCTGCACAAGGCGTAGCAGGAGGATCGCGCTTAAAAGCGCTGCCCAGCGCGAAGCCTCCGGCTCGCGCCGCAGGGCCGGGGCCCTTCGGGTTCCTCCCTCCTCAGGCCTCCGCTTTTGAAAGGACATTTTTATGTTTCACTGCTCTTTTTTTTTTCTATTTTTTTTTTAAATATTTTCATTATAATCTGCGGAATAAACAGTGCAGAAACGTGCCGAGGCTCGGCTGGACTCTTCCCATAGCGATACAAAATTATTATTAAAATTATTATTTTAAACGAAATAAATTCCGCAGTAGCGTTGCAACACGCTGGGGCACAGAGGTCCCTCGGGCGTGCTATACAATGCAGTGCACGGCGTATTTACCTCTAACTTCAACGCTTGTGTGCACCCGTTTCGTRTTTGTACGAGCGAAAAAGAGGCAGATATACATAAAATCCTTTATTCGACCAAGATCTCGCAGGAAGTGGCAAAATGGTCCTTTCTGGGAATGCTTTCCATTAAATTTAAATGGTGTGAGCAAGGCAATAAAATTGTCTCATTTAAAAATAAGGAAAGAAAAAGTGTTTTTAAAGTCCCGCTTGAGGTGACTTATGGTGGTTTTGCAACAGTTTATTAAATTGTGTAATAGGCAACAGAGGTTTTGAGGTTCGGGAACTTACACCAAAAAAAAATAATAATAAAAAAAAATCAGGTGAAATGTGGGGCAAGGACCCAATGCTCCCACTGCAACATCGCGTGAGCCGAGCAGCAACAAAATCCACGCATCCTCCCGCTCCATACATTACTCATTTACTGCTCCTCCTCGCAGCCCCGATCGTGCCAGGCCCTTTCGTAGGACAGAGCCAAACATTTTAGCGCCTTCGCCCGTCA